AAGTACGAAACCCTAACCAACACTCTTCACTCCCCTCTCTTCGTTGCTTCATTCGGTTAGTTTTCTGATTCCTCTCAACAAGTTTTCATAGTTTTATACTTTGGATCATCACATTGTTATGTTTCTATTACGAATTCATCAATACGCATGTATTTCTCGTTTAGATTTTTTGTTTTTTTTCTTCAATTTTCTGCTAATACTATGTGTTTGTATAAAAATCTTGAATTAACCTTTGTCTAAATTCTTCCGAATTGAGAATGGGGTTTGTGGGTAGAGTCAGTTGCTGGAGAAAGAAACACTGTAATCTGTAGGTTTTTCTCAACATTGCATGTGAATTTTCAACTGCATTATGCATTTTATCTTTGATTGGGGATGATACTACATTTTATGTTCATGATTTGGGTCCAACCACTCAATATGATCATCAATTTAGTGTATGTTCGGATTCACAGTGAGATTGTGAGAATCACGGTGAGTGACTGTTGGAGCTACAATAAAACCGGAGTGTTACCCTAATTTTGTCAAACTTGTTCATCGAAACATAGTTTTTTGTTTTTACTGCAGCTGCACTGTTAGTTACTACTACATGTTAACTGATCTTGTTAACATAGTCTTTTGTTTCTATGCCTTTGTAATTATGTATAATATACTGACATGAGTATAATTTTGTATGCTCTGGAAGAAGACATTACGAGGCATAGCACCATGTTTCTCAAAGTGCAGCTTGCTTGGAATGTCGTCATTGCTGCAGAAAATCTGAAGCCAGGCAGTCTTATGCTTCAGCGGGCAATCCTGATTCGCCTTCTAAGTGACTTTGCGGCTAAAAAGGCGACAAAGGATTTGGGATACTATCTTGCAGTGACGACACTGGATAAAATAGGAGAGGGGAAAGTGAGACAACACACCGGGGATGTACTCTTCCCTGTTGTGTTTAATGCTGTCACCTTCAAGATGTTCAAGGGTGAGGTATTAGAGGGGACAGTTCACAAGGTGCTGAAGCATGGGGTTTTCATGCGGATTGGTCCAATCGAGAATGCTTATCTCTCAAGTAGCAAGATGCCGGGTTACGAGTATGTTCTTGGTGAAAACCCATACTTCATGAATCAGAAGATGCCCAAGATTGCAAAAGATGTCAAGGTTCGAGTTGTGGTGATCGGCACAAAGTGGATGGAGGCAGAGAGGGAGTTTCAGGCGCTGGTTGGCCTAGAAGGGGATTATCTGGGCCCAATTTCACACTCTGATATGTAGTTATGTTTTCGTGTAGCCAAACTTTAATATTGGGTATGGCGATGAATGCGAACATTTTGTTGTAGGGTTTCATGTACGTGCTCTGTAAATGCCTATTGCACTTGTCAACGGGATCACATAGAGTTCCATTATTTGCTACTAGCTGATGATGATATATTAGTTAAAATACTTTTAATAGTCCAAGATCAGCATTTGAATACTAGAGAAATGGAACTGTAAACTTACTAGCAGTAGACCACAATGTGAGCCAAAATCTAAGTGTTGGCTTTCATTACAAATGAGAAAAGCAGAAAACCTTCTGTGATCCAAACTAGGGGATTACATAAAAAGATTCAAATGTTTGTTACTTTTTCAGCATTTTATTTCTGGAAGGGTGCATATCAAACTTGGTTTTAAGTGCATAACAAAAAATGAAAAACTGAAAAACCAAATGCAGTCATCATGAGTAGAAGTTGAAAATAACCATGATTTGTTGCATTCAGAATATAAGTTGGAAATTGTTTGATTATACGGTGTCAATATCAGATTTTATGTCAAAATAACATTTCTCATATTTTTATTCAGTTCAAACAAAGAAAATAGTCATTCTCTTGCTAAGTATCAATTTATGCTCATGAATTTTTCCTAAGCATTATTTTTCTATCAAACCTGGATTTAACTCTATTGCTCTACATATACTTCAGTGAAATCCGAATAAGCTCTTCAAGTTCTCCCAATACAAGAATAACTTACAATAACTTTTTTTTTTCTTCTTTTAGTAAAAAAAGAAAAAATTGGCCTCACTCTAGAGTTATTAGAAAGGCTTTTTATGCCACTTTAAACCTTTAAAAATAATTTTACATTTAATTCAACAATATTTAGAAAATCAATTTCATCTTTAAAGTGAACTTCAGAATGAATGAATAAATAAATTGGCAACTTTTTAAAATGAAGAGACTACGTAATTTTGATTTTCCATTCTTTATTTATACTAATTTTAATTTAATTTATTAATTTATTAAAATTAAAATATCTTCTTTTCTATTGGAAATTTAAACCCTTCTCTAGAGAAACGTCTATAAAATCCTTTCAATCTAAATCCACATAGGCTTCTCAAATTGTGCGCGGTGATTTCTCACCGTGTTAGTAGCTTTTGCAGTCCTATTTAATCAATTTCTACACCGTTTTCGATAGGCAGGGAATGAAATGAGTTTGATTTCTAATCCTAATTCAAAGCCATCTTCCTTTTGTCTGAAATGGCCATGGGATGCTTTAAACCCTAACCCTAAAATCCCCCACGCGCCTAACCCCTGCAACTTTGAGGCTCCTTGGTTATTCAGGTCTCTCCAAAACCTTGGATCATTAGCTTTTAATTTTGTCAACTCTGTTTCAAATTCTTCAACTTCTCAGACCCCAAATTCCCTGGAATCTAATAAGAAATTGAATTTGACATGGAACAAGAAGAAGAGAGTGACTCCCAATGGTCTTGAGCAGGCCGAGGCTGAGCAGCGAGCCTTTGCTGCCGCTCTGGCAAGTGATAAGGAGGCGACCTTGCTCGAGTTTTACTCGCCCAAATGCAGGCTCTGTAATTCACTGGTTAATTTTGTTTTGGAAATGGAAACAAGGAATGGTCACTGGCTTAACGTTGTCATGGCTGATGCCGAGAATGAGAAGTGGTTACCAGAGGTATTTAATTTTCAATACACTATATTCATTCAAAATGCATTACCTTGTTTTGCTTATCAACCCTTATTTTCCATGATGATGATGATGATAATTATATATGGTAGCTCTATGACCGGGTTGAATTCATATTCCTTGTTTGTTTGTCGTGTTTAACAAGAGTGTCAGAGTGTCAAAGTTTATTAGGGCTTCAGCCTTGGAATATGGATTAGTTGTGTCCTTCTCTAATTGTCATTGAATGTAGGAATATATATCAAATTATCACAAGTATTAAGTCATGTTTGAATAAACGCTTTAAATAAGCACTTATCATATAAGGGTTTATGTACAAGTTATTTCAATAACAAAAGTTAAAATAAATTCAATTTATATCTGAAAATAAGCTGAAAACAACTCATGGACATCTCATAAGCTGTTTTCACAAACTCTCCAATAATTTCCCAAGAGCTTATACCGGCAGAGAAGCTCAAATATGCCAATCCAAAAAGGCTCCTAGTATATTCATGTAGTGCAGTCCAACTTGTACCACTTGATTAGTGGGTCCAAATCTCCCTCTTCAAATTCATTGACCACACATAATGAATGTCCTTTGATTTGTGATCTTCTTTTAGACTCTCTGCATGTTTCTCACCTCTTACATAAGTTGCAGCAACATTCTTCATATCTCGATATTTTTTAAGACTCTGCATGTTTCTGACCTCTTACCCTCAACCTTTGGTCTCCTCTTCTCCATCTACCTCGAAAGAACCACAAACCAAAAAGAAAGCACAATTTAGGAACAAAGAGAAAATTAAATTTCAGGGGATTAATGAAGATAAACAAACCAAGCAATGAAATTGGAAACAATTGAGTATGAAGGGATTAATCAGTGTGTAAAGCTGAATATAACGAAATTAACTTTTGAAGAGCTTAAAAATTGTACACCATTACAACCTCCATGGTTCTAGATTCATGCAGTTCCCACTAGTTTTCACTAAGCTCGGTGGGTAGTTAACAACCAATGAGCAATTATGTAAATTTATTTTCTTCGGACTTTACACAATAGTGATAGAATACAATTGAACAAGTGTGTTGATGCATTAAAAAACACAATACATCAATCATCAAGGGGTTTGTGCAATGAACATCGTTGGAATTCGCAACGGCGTGGGGGATGATCCTGTGCAGACGGTGGGCACTTATTACTGTGACATTGCTTAATCCAACAGTTCATAAAAGTTGTGCTTGATGCAACACTTAAACTCACCTGTTCACATTAGACAAAATCTATTTTACAGTGTGATCTCTTAAAGTGTGTTAATTTAAAGTATGCAAATATGTTACCATGAAAATAAGATAAGAATGTAATATTATTGTGAGTGGTTCAAGGTTGAAAAAGGTATTAAGGGGTACGATTCATTTCAAGATTTTTTTGTTTTTGTTATTGGTTTTTTGTTTTTGTTTTCTTCATACTTTCTCTTTTCATTCCCATTGTGAAGAGTAATAATTTATATTTCCATAGAAGATAATGTAGCAATTTACACAAACATGTAATAGTGGCATGGATAATATTCATGCAGTCTTGCTACAGTAGCACGAACAGACATAATAGTACTTGTGTATTAATCCCAAACAGACACTCAACTAGTATTGTATTCGATTCCGATTTGTTCTGCATCATCCGAGTAGATTATTATGTTTTAGCTCAATGGTTGGTGGCATGTTTTCCACCATTTGCCTAAATCATCAAGTTTAGTTTATTTGGGTTTCCTCTTGAAACAACTCAATCTAGTACTTGATATTCTTCTTGTATCCTTACATGAAATTGTGATTCTGCTATCTTTCAATACCCTTTTAGATATATCATACATGTTATTTAGTTGTTTAGCCTCCTCTGGAGAGTTTATTCTTCGCAAGATGACTTTGTGCTGAGTTATAATTAATTCTTTCTATTGCAGCTCCTTAATTATGATGTTAGTTATGTCCCCTGCTTTGTGCTTATTGACAACAAAGGAAGGGCCCTGGCTAAGTCGGGTGTCCCAAATAGCCGTTTACATGTTATAGTTGGACTATCACATCTTCTCAAAATGAAGCGTCCTCAACAAAACTAAAAGATGATGGGAACCAACATTTGTTTGCGGTACTGTTTTATGAGCTTGAGTTTCACTTCCTTATAATATGATGTCTGAGCTTTTGTTTTAATTGGGATGGGATTTCTTCTGCCTTCTGTTGGAATTTGTCCCATATGTAAGGTTTTCTAAGAATTAAAAACGTGCTGTATGATTGTCCATGTAATTATCCCTTCTTTAGATTCATTGCGTGAATTTAATTGAATCGCATTTTATACAAACTGTTCTAGAATGTTGGCACCGTCACCTTCAAGGTTTTAGTTACTCACTATCTTGCTGTCACACAATCATAACTTACTTTAGGTGCAAACAGTTATAACCTAATTGGCCAGTTCGACCGATGACCCAAGAGTATGGATGCTGTCCATCTAAATCCTAAGTACTCAGTTCATTCTGTAGTTTTATGTCAATTTATCATAGTACAATTACTGATGTATCAACTAAGTAATCCTATATCCAGAATAGCTAATGGCCAATGTAATATTCGAAGAAATATTAACCGACTCTTTGATGAATAAAAAATAATAGTAAAAAAAGACAAAGTAATCCATAATCAAGTAATATAGGATTGATTCAAGATATCGGTCCGGCATGGATTGTTTAACAATTACTAGATTAGTAGTTCTTATGTTATTTAAAAATTTGAAAGGGGTACTGGAGCAATAACAATTAAGAGAAGTAAAGAATATTACAAAGAGCTTAGAACACAAGAAGAAGAACAACAAACGTACAACTCTTACAGTTAAAAATAAAAAGACAACTTATGTCTTCAATGTCCCTTATTTTTTTTTTCTTACTAGTCTTATAATTAAACACATGGTCATGATGTGAAAAAGTCATGTCATAGACATAATTTACATTTTTCAGTTGGAGAAGAAATTTATGACAGTACTATAAGCTAGAAGTAGAGTTAAAAATCTCATGTGAAATCTCGAGGGCACATGACTTAACATTTTATTCATACAACAGAAACATGAAAAGTGTAACAAATAGCCTTATTCTAGTTGCATTCGTGATCTTACAGTGATCAACGATAATGCAATGCAAAGTTAACAAATAGCCTTATTCTAGAGGTGGCAATTAAATCCATTAAGGCAAAATCCATCCAATCCATCCATCAAAAAATCCATCCAATCCATCCACCACACAAAAAATAAGTTAATGGATTGGATTAAATCCATCCATTTATATGCATGGATGGATTCAATCCATCCATTTATATGTATGGATTAATTCAATCCATCCAACATATTTTAAGGATCCAATGGATTATTTTTATTTTCGTTAGATTTATTTTTTTAAAATTAGATTTTTTTAAAAATAATTAAAAAATTATATTTTTTTTCTAAAAAAAAAAAATTTAATTTTTTTGAAAAAAAATCTGTTTTTTTTTTCAGAACAAAAAACTGATTTGTTTTTCGAAAAAAAAACCGACTTTTTTTTTTAGAAAAAAAATCAGTTTTTTTTTTCAGAATAAAAAACTGATTTATTTTTCGAAAAAAAAATAAATTTTTTTCTCGAAAAAAAAGCCGACTTTTTTTTTGGAAAAAAATCGGTTTTTTTTTTCAGAATAAAAAACTGATTTGTTTTTAAAAAAAAAATAAATTTTTTTCTCGAAAAAAAAACCGACTTTTTTTTCTGAAAAAAATCGGTTTTTTTTTTTCAGAATAAAAAACTGATTTGTTTTTCGAAAAAAAAATTTTCGAAAAAAAAACCGACTTTTTTTTTCTGAAAAATCGTTTTTTTTTTTCAGAATAAAAAACTGATTTGTTTTTCGAAAAAAAAAACTGACTTTTTTTTTGGGAAAAAAAATCGGTTTTTTTTTCAGAATAAAAAACTAATTTGTTTTTGAAAAAAAAATATTTATTTTTACGAAATTAAAAAAAAAGTTGGATGGATGGATATCCATCCATTAAAAATATGTTAATGGATGGATTGGATGGATTTTATTCTTAATGGATGGATCGGATTGGATAATTTTAATAAAATTTTAGTGGATTTTAATGGACTAATGGATTGTTTTAATCCATCCATTAGCAATCCAATCCATATCCATCCAATCCATCCATTTTGCCACCCCTACCTTATTCTAGTTGCATTTGTGATCTTACAGTGATCAACGATAATGCGTGACTCTTGGCTACATTGCATTCGGGTACATAAAACTGAAATGACCAAAAAAAGTTACTAAGAAAAAAAATGAAATAATTAAACATCATACGTAGCGCTCTAGTGCTAAATACCCACAAAGCTACCTAATGTTCACCATTAACCTTATCCCATTATGGCAACACTTGTATCTAATAAACACTTCCATTGTGCGGTGACAATCAGGACACCCAATAAAGTCTGGGATTCTTCCAGCAACATTAGGAATCTCAAGGTGGGAGCAGAGATGAACGGTACTAGCAACCTTGTGATGATGTTCTCTAAATGCAAATTCAAAGCCCTTGTTGATAAACACATCCTTCCATTTGTCAAACTCTGCCACTGTTTTCAAAACTGTTGTCCCATGACCAACAGAAGTCACAATAGACCCTTTGGTTACAATTGCCCACCCTCTCTCATTCTTGTATGAAAGCAATTTCTCAACCTGTTGTGTGTTACTGTGTTTGTTTTCTCATGCATCTTGGTCACAAACAAACTCTCTACCTTTTTCCAAAAGTTTTTGTTGAGACTCCAAGCAAAACAGGTCAATTGAAGTCTTTGCTTGCTTAATAGCGGCATCATTTGCTAAAGCGCCAGCATACTTAATGAATTGTTGAATCCATTCCTTACCTTTTCCTCCATAAATGATGACAGACTTTTCCTCCTCCTTCATTTTCCAAAGGAAACATATGAAATTTATTAGTCATATTTAGCTTTCATCATAATAAGTGATTGTAAGGTTTATGATCATTAAAAAACTTGCCCATTTAATCTTTATATCAATGTCAACAAGGGAATCAACCCACATTAATTCTTGGGTCAGTGATTCTTCTTTGGATTTGGAGAAAGGGAATCCCTTTACTCCCCAAACTTGAATCACATGGAATGCATTCTGATGTATAATCTTTCCATGTGGACTCAACACAACAACCAAAGTCTTCTGCTTGAAATGCAATTCCTCCTTTATGTATTTGATGCCTTTTATAGGTGCAAAGTGATGCAACACATACCAAGGCATCTTAGACTTCAAAGAATCAAATTTTTCCTTCAACCTATCATTCCGTTCCTCCACAATGGGAACCCACACAATCTTGTGTTGGCTTTCTGTTTTCTTCATATGATCATAAATTGGAATCAAAATTGAGATGTCTTCTTCACTGATTTCCAGGGTTGAAATGAACGAGAACACATCCTTCTTTTTCAACACTTCAATACTTACCTGTTTAATTATACAACTTATTTAAACATACACTAACTATTCTAGAAAATCTATTTACTTTCATTTCACATTGTATTAAGGAATTAAGATATGATAAATACTAACCAGTGTTTTAGTGGAACCATCATAGATGATGGGTGCTTTTGGAGTGTTTTTCCAAAAAATCAACACCTTAAACACTTCCATAATTTTCGTCGGGGTTTAAAAGAGCTACTTGAGTAACTTGTTATACTCTGCTTCATCTGAGAATTAAAAGAAAAAATCCTTCAATCTCAGGAGAAAATACTTACTTTTGGGGTTGACAAAACAAAAACAGAGAAATAAAATTTTAAATATGTTACAAGCTATAATTACCAATCTGGATAGTGATTTGTGACACATGCTTCCTCAATTTGCTGATTATTATGTTAATCTGTTGACCAAAGTGAGATAAGTCCTGCCTCTTATCCCTGAAAATTAAAAACTAAAACATTAGTAACTATTAATGTAGCTAACTTAATTATGTACAATATTTCAATTTCTACAATAATATTGAAACTTACGAATCAGTAGTGAGACATTCAAACTGAGTAACAATTGCAACAGTGGTGATGATAACCCAATAGACATCAACAGGGAATTGTTCCAAAGCTGGTGCAAGAGCTGGAACTTCCTTGATATCATGATGCGAGTTGAGTCTTTCCAACTCAATGATAATATCAATCACTTGCCATGTTGCTTTGATCAGATTGTTGAGTTCCAGAATTGCATTGCTGTGTTTTTTCAATGCTTGAGGTTTGGTGAGTTGAGGAACTCTGTTGATTAAGCCTAATGATTTGGCAAGTGGTTCTGTTGATTGATACTGTGATAGAAACCAGAAGTGTCCATATTCAAATGCAAAAAAGTACTCCTTTAGCAACCCATGAATAGTTTGACAGCTTATTTAGGATTGATAGTGTTGTTTTGTAAGCTATTTACTCACCTGGTGCCTTGCATGACATCTGCCACCATAAAGCAATTAATAAATACTATAGAGTCTATACTAGAGTCTATGCAAAAGAATTTAGATTAATGGATTCCTCTGGCCAAGAAAAACCATAAAGCAATTAATTAATACTATAGATATTATTTAAAAGAATATTAAATGTCTCTTTTGAACTCTTTTTGGAATGAAGGGAACGAGACCGCCAGACATACTCACATTTTATTGCGGGTCCGTTCAATATGAACTACTTATTAACTTACATATTGATTTTAGAGATATATCTCCAGAATCCCACCCTATTATTTTGTTTCGGAGATACATCTCCGGAAGTTGTCTTGAACCAGTTTCACACCATAACACTATAACAAAACAATTTTTTTTCATTGACGAAAACACACATGTTGTTATGTGGTAGATAAAAAATGTATAAAGACAAGATATGAACAAAAGGTTAATATATAACACTTCATTTATATTGACACACAATTACATACAATTATTTGTCCAATTAAACAAGAAATCAAAACGAGTCGAAACACCTGTCACCGGCTAAATCTATAGGTGATACCTCCCTGGACTTTTGTGCATTCGATTCTTTTTCAATGTCGTTCAATCTCTCGAATTCTTGCATCCTTTCCACATAATGATTTG